CACACACACACACACACACACACACACACACACCTATTGATCTCTTCCTTTACCCCCGCCTTCAATATCACCTATTCTGTTTCTAGTTCGATACTAACAAAAACAACCGAGAACAAAGACAGTAAAAAAAAAAGAACCAACCGGTTTCAAAAAGATCATTTTTTACACACGGGCTCTTATACAACGGTGTAGTACTCGTCCTTTTGAAATGTGCAATTCTTTACGTGTCTCAAACAAACATTTTAATTTTTCATGCCACTCTTCAAGTAAGCTTTGCAATGCTTCATTGTCTTCTGCAATGCCATTCACTGCAGGTCTTTCATTGAAATAGATTATTTTCTTCTAACAAAGTTTGGTATGTTGTCGTCACTAATACAGGGTTGGTTCTTACAGGCAAAGGTGAAGCAGTTCGCTTCCAGATTTTGAATAACCCACTTGTGCCGAAGGCAAAGTAAAATATTTTGCAATCTATTGATCAAAGGTAAGTATGTTTGGCTTATTCAAATGCCAAACAACCTGAAGACAATAATTATTATGTTCGTGTTTTCGAACATAGGGACACATTTCATACAGCAGACCATGTTAAAATATAGATAATATGTGAGGCAGCGTGGTGGAATCAGGCTCTCGTCAATTTTTGGACATGTAGAGTTATTGATATCATGTTAAAGCTTGTTCACTTGTCTTTATTCGGATGCAAAAAATTTCCATTTGTCTTGAATACAAGTCGAGATATTTGCAAAAGAAGGAGGTGGGGGTCACCTGTGTTCAGAGGTAAAATTAGTGAGAAAATGGCCGCCAAAGATTACTTGTTTCCTTAGCTTAAGAGTCTGTGGTAACTGAAAGTTTACATTTTTTATACCTTTAATCAACGCTTTTCAGAAAAATCCACACAGAAATGAGTTCTTTAAGGGGCAGGAAAGGTGTTGTGCCAAAAAAACAAAAATTTGATCAACATTCACAAACCTGCGGAAAAATGCAATTTACTTCACTTTGATTATTTTGACGAGAGCCTGATTCCACCACGCTGTCTCATATATGCTGTGTACAGTAATTGTAAAGCTACGCCTGTAGAAGTAGCTATGTATTACATACGAAGTCCATCAACTCGGTGTGAGCAAAGTTGTCCTACAGTGGATCAACCGATGAACGCTTTAAATGAAGGTTTATTACCACGCACGACAAAATATAGAGCGCACTTCAATCACCTCTTGATTTAATTGTAATTGCGGCAGTATTGCTTGTTGTGCTCAAATGAGATACCTAAAATGATTTGTTTTTAAACGAAGAAGGTAAAGTGACCTCATTTTAATACCAAACACTCAAAATTCCGAGTAAGAATCTTCTTATTCCTCTCAACAGGTGTGATGCGATATCGCTTTAACACGTTTAAAAACACCGAAAGGTCAGACTATAGATGAAAGAAATCCACAAACACTCAAAATTCCGATTAAAATCCTTCTTATTCCGCTCAACAGATGTAATATGATATAGTTTTATTCAACACGTTGGCGAACACTGTATGGCTAAACTAAAGATAGCGCGCTCATATGACCTTAGCAGTTGCGAGCGCCGTAAAACCCCATACTACTACTACTACTAAACTAAAGATGAAAAGAAAACCAAGGTCAAGAGCAAGTCATGAATTGGATCTAGATTCCAACAACACGGGCCCATCAGAAAGTCCAGAAGACGAGTACAGCGAAAAATGTGTTACAACGTGATGGAATCAGGCACTCGTCAATTTTTGGGCATGTGGCGTTATTGATATGATAGGAAAATTTTATATATTATTTGCCTTGCTTTCTATGAAAAAAATACCCATCTGTCTTGAATAAAAGTCGAGATATTTGCACTTGAGCCAGGTGGGAGTAGCCTGTTTGCAGAGGTAAAATAAGCGAGAAAATGGCCTCCAAAGTTTGGTAACTTCTGTAGCGTTTAGAGTCATTGAAAACTGAAAATGTATGTATTTTGTGTCATTAATCAACGTCTTTCAGTAAAATTCACTTGAAAAAGTGCTTTTCTATGGACATAAAAATGTTGAGCCAAAAACAAAATGTTTGTAAAAATTACCAAACTGTAGGAAAAATGCCATTTTCTCTTGTTTTATTATTTCGATGAGCGCCTGATTTCACCACGATGCCTCACAAATAACAAGGAGGTTATCTTTGTCTGGGGATACGATGGACGAATAGGGTCGTGGGTTGACGAGATGAATGGAAGCATCGACGAGTGGGGAGGAATAGATATGCACTATCATTGATCCTAATGGTCACTTACTCACTTTACTTTACTTCACCGTCCTCTTGTACCTCGTGTTTTCCCACAAGAGCACGAAGAAGCCAGATGTGCATGATTTTGGAGTTGAGAATAATTATACAATGAAAGTTTCGAGCGCTGGTTGCTATAAAATACTCCAGAACTGAGACAGAGATTCGCTGTTTCACTTTTTAAAATTGTGTTCAACGATAAAGTTTCTCAGCTGGACGGACAGAAACAAAAGTGGATACCCAACGTGGACTTGGCTTACTGCTGACCATTTGTGTTACAATAGATTATTTAACGAGAAATGTTTTAATTAAAAGAAATTAACTCTTTATATCCAGTGGAACACGATTTTTTATGGG